TGTGTGTGCGTGCGATTTTTATTTATAGGGTTATTTAAAAAATGTCGTGTACGAGCGCGAACCCACAACTCGAGAAGACATGATTTAAATAATTGAAACTGCTTGTACAAACATACTATGGGCTGTATTATTAGAAACTATTAGTCATTTTGAGCGAAGAATCGTATTATGTATTCAAGGAAATGAAAACGTATTTAAACATCTTTTGTTATGTAAGAAGACGGTTTGGAGTCACAAAACGCACACGCACACTGTATGAGGGTAAAAGCTTTTTACTTAAATTATAAATGTTTGAATGCTGTAACTCATCGGAAAATGTTAATTTCAAAATTTCAAAAAATAAAAAACCGTTATACTCATTTCATTGTCAGCTACAACTTTTATTTCGAGAAAAAATCGATTTCCATTTAAAAAAAAGGCCGCTATGGTAAAATCTCCAAAGTGGTGCCATCTATAATATCATCATTTTTCCCCCTCGAAGCCACAAAAATTTTGTCTGAAACATTCGATGCATCGTACTTCACGGATGCATATTGTGCATCTGCATGATATTCTCGACGGTCAGCTGAAATCGATGGCATTGTTGAAGGACAAGGACTTGCGATGACAACTTGAGTAGTTGAAGATAAACCATGTTTTATCCGTCGCAATTATGTATTCATACAGTGGCAAGGGCGTGAGTGTAAAAAAAGTCAGAAGGAAGAGAATCAAGCTTGAGGAAAACTTGAGATGAAGATGTAATACGAAGTACGGGTGGCCGATTGCGTGACGCTGCAATTTTTACGCGCTCGACGCATAACGATGCACCTCGTCGCATGTACGTCGTATAAATGATCGATCGAAAATAAAAAAAGGAAGAAATATCACAGATAAGAGGAAGAAATACTGATAAAATAAAAGTCCTTTTACTGAAACTGATCGGATCGTCGCGATACACACGTCATGAAAGTATGCTATGAACGCACATTTTCATATCTAAAAATATAGAATCGAATTTTGCCAGGATCGTAAGATCACACGATGATTCGGTTAGTCGAGTTAGTCTTATAACGAATGACGTCTAAATAACATAGTCACAGGCGTTGATATAAACTTGTTGATAAAGAAAGCGCACATAATCATTAAGTTACCGTTTCGAAAATGTGATTATAAATAATATCGTACGCGTCAAGCGGAAGCTCGAACATCGACGGACACGGACGGAACCCCGTGCGAAAAACAAAAGTTCAACTGCCTCCTGTGAGGATTGAACTCACGACCCCTGGTTTACGAGACCAGTGCTCTACCACTGAGCTAAAGAGGCGTCGATGTTGACTACCCTTCGACGAATCTATAACAGGGTATCTAAGGAAATTCGTTGATATTGTAACGTTAATAGAAAAAAGATTTTGTTGCTTTTACTGCTGCTATTGTTACAACATGCATATGTTTATCGATTGGTCGCACGAACGCGATTTAAAGAACGACGGTCTTCGTTCCGTCTCTTTGCTCGCCAAGTAATTGGACAGGGGTTGTGAGTTTTATCCGGCACGACGCATCACGACGACGAGGGCTTTTTATTACACAACTGGGCGCGTCGAATTTCAGTAGCATATACCGAACGACAAATCGAAATCACGCTGCTTAAAGGTCACATCGTGGCGCTCGCGCGAAGTGGATCAAGGATTAATAATTGAATCAAACGAATGTATGGAGCCAAACGATAAAATCATGTCTCATATGGACGATCGTGTATTCTGTGTATCCTCGATATGAGACATTCCTTATCGTTTGTGTGTAACACACATTCGCACGCGAGATATGTACATATCTAACTGAAATAACATAAGCGCTCTATGACACATCAGCGAACCATATTTTCACACCACCTTTTCAAATCGATATCATCCTTGTCGCGTGCGACAATTACAGGGTTGGGAAAGTTATTTTGTAAAAATATCTATCAGGTTAGTCAGAAAATTTTTTCGTATTTTAAATCATCATACTTTGCACATCTACACTCAAAGCAATCCACGAGAGAGAGAGGGGAAAGGATGATTGTTTTGAATTCATCTCGCCGTACAAACTATTACAGACGAAGAGCGCCTGTGAGCTATTGTGAGTTTACAAAAAAGTAGTAAATGGAACAAAGCGGCAAATTAAGTCAATTTTATTTAAAAGGCACACGAACGCGTCTCAGATCCATCATAATTTGTGTAAAACTTTTGGAAGATGTGATTAACGTTAAGTCATGCTAATTTTGAAAAATTTCGAAACGGTGATTTCAACCTGGGATGAGCCCAAGTCCGAATGGTTTTTGATTATCAACAAAGAGCGCTTGCAAAATAAAATCAAAGAAACCCCGAATATTACTGCTCGCGAGCTTGAGGCAGAATTCGAGGTAGCTCACGGAACTAACGTCGACAACCTCCATTAACTTGGCTTTATGTCAAAGTTTAACGAGTATTGCATGCATTGAACGAGAGGAACAAGCTTGACCGCATCTCCAAGTGCGTTATGCTGCTCAACCGACATCGCAATCTTTTCTTGATCAATGAAAAACAGATCTTTTATGATAATGTGGTACGAAAACAAAGTTAGTATAGGCCCTTAAGAAATTCAGTCTGGAGGACTCCAAAGCAGAACATTCACGGATAGAAAATTATATTAAGTGTGTGGTGGGATGTACGCAAAATTCTCTACTATGAGCTGCTATCGAGAAGCTAAGCGATCAATACGGACCTTTACTGTCAGCAGTTGGAAAGATTTCAGACAAAAAAAGAGTTCCGGCCTCAACTTATTAACTGTGAAGACCTTTTCTTCCACCAGGACAACGTTCGTCCCCACGTGAGTGCACCCACGTTGAGAAAAATCAGAGAGCTTAATTAGGAACTTCTCGAACACCCACTATACTTTTCTGACCTCACGCTATCCGATTATCGTCTTCTCAGGCCCCTGCAAAATTTTCTTCACCGAAAAAAATTCGATTCGGTAGATAAAGTCCAAAGAGAGTTGGATCTTTTCTTTAATTCCAGAACTAAGTCCTTTTCCACGAATGAAATTCTCAAGCTTGTAAATCGATAGGAGGAAATCATTAAACGAAGCGGAGGCGGAGACTATATTAATGATTAAAATAAAAGTGCTTTTCGTGAAAAATAATTTTTTTTCTTTTTGCACAAAATACGAAAAAACATTCTGAGCAAACCGATAGTTACAGTTACAGTTTTTTTTTTACTGAAAAGTAACTAAAGTTACAGTTACTAGTTATCAATTCTGAAAAATAACTCGTTCCAGTTGTAGTTACTCAAAAAGTAATGACTCGTTATTTTTCAGTTACTTTCTTGCAATGATTGTGCACTACTATTTTAAATATAAGAATTTTACATTTCAAGTTTTACTGATTTACTATATATTACGTATTTAATTATGCGCTATAGTATTTTGTATTCAATAAATAACAATCTCTCTCTCTCTCTTTTGCGAGATAAAATATTTTAATCGTATTTTCTTTCTAAATATTGATAAATTTATTATAAATATACAGGTTGCCCCAAAAGTAATGGACGACCCTAATAACTCTTTAGTATTAAAGTTTCAAGGAAAATGATCTGAATAAAAGTTGTAGGGATTTAAGTGAGCTACCTTATGATAACCTTGAATTTGACCTTGACCTCTATTTTCAAGGTCGTTTGAAGGTCAACTTGCGTTTTTTAAATGGGGAATCCTTATTTTTTTATTACATTGTTTTTTTCTACTAGTTAATTTGGATAACTTTTGTCTAAAATATTTTTCTATTTGTCTAACATTTTTTGAGATATTTGAGGGAAACTTGATAACTTTTTCAATATTTAACTTATGATATCTCGCTAATTATTTGTTGGAAGAAAAAGTAGTACTAGACTTTCTTGCTTTATTTAGTTTCAAGAACTTTTGTTAACTTACTGACGTTTGGAAATTTCAAAATTATCAAATTAACAAAAATCAGGGCGCTGTTGTAACAATATATTCTTGAGACTAAATAAAGTAAGAAAGTCTAGTACCACTTTTTCTTCCGATAAATAGTTAGCGAAATAACGTAAGTTAAATATTGAAAAAGTTATCAAGTTTTCCTCAAATATCTCAAAAAATATTAGACAAATAAAAAATGTTTCAGACAAAAATTGTTCAAATTAACTACTAGAAAAAAAACAGTGTAATAAAAAATAAGGGTTTCCATTTAAAAAACGCAAGTTGACCTTCAAATGACCTTGAAAATAGAGGTCAAGGTCAAAGTCAAGGTCATCATAAGGTAGCTCAGTTAAATCCCTACAACTTTTATTCAGATTATTTTCCTTGAAACTTCAATACTAAAGAGTTATTAGTGTAGTCCGTTACTTTTGAGACATGCTGGATATAAAGAAGCTTTATTGTATTACGTCTTATATAAAGGGTGTATGATGGCCTTAACAAAGATATAGAACGCGCACAAACATGCTCTTCAAACTATGCAGCTATAAAAGTAACTATTAAATTATGTATTATTTATAAAAAATGTAACTAAGTTAAGTTACAGTTACAGATAAAAAAAAGGGACGAAGTTAAGTTACAGTTGCCGAGAAAAAATAACTATAACTGTAACTATATACAAGTAACGAGTTATTTCCCAACCCTGGACATTTATTGACATCAACACACACACGCGCGCGCGCGTGCACATACACACAGTGCCTATGAAAAAGAAATACTTATTATTTTATTGCAAAACTCTTTAGACAGTGGGAGCGTTAAGTGTGTGTAGACGGTGCCTGAAAATTTCGGCAAAGAAAGAAATAGTACTTGAGATAATTATAGATTCTGGTAATAATTAGTATAGATCATTATTTTATCGTTCATATGAGAGAGAGAAAGAGAGAGAGAGAGAGAGAGAGAGAGAGAGAGAGAGAGAGAGAGAGAGAGAGAGAGAGAGAGAGAGAGAGAGAGAGAGAGAGAGAGACTGAAAGAAAGAATGAGAGATGGGATCCTCGCTTCGGAAAGAAACTTACTTGGTCTCGTCTATGAAAACGGCCTCGAGTACGCGTGCCGCATAGTGCAGATTTCGTTGGAGGAGTTCAGCGGATATTTCCCCATGTTGTAGTTGCCTTAATAAACACCTCAGTCTGCAAAAGAGTTATCCTCGAATGGCCTCTTGCTACGCCAATAATCTGCCTTCTAAACTGGATGTTCGAGTCCGATTGCTTTCCGATAATTGCGCGACAAGTCGGGATTACGTACTAATGCAATTCTGCTTAAACCTCCGAGGTTTAAAGGGTTATATATTCTGCCGTGACGTGCGAGAGCTTCGCACTGTGCGCGCCCGATAAAATATTCACTGCGAAGGTAAACGAAACGTCGCGCCCGTTACAAAGAGATCGTGTAATTAATATACAAACGACATGTAAATTGTAAACTGCGCACGAGGAATTTAATCGGGACTGTTTGATAATTACGGCTCGTTATTTGTCGTATGCGGATAATACTGCGAAACAAATATAATTTGCGGAGTGTAATCGCCACGGCGTGACGATATAACATCGTCTGACAAAGGACGTGTCTATATGATGTGACTGAAAAGTGGAAATCTCGCGCATAATTATTCAGGAACTGACGCCACACGCGTTGTTGGATCCTTTGTGAATAGGTGCAGGTAAGCGACCGAACACGAATTATGCCAGTTAGAGGATTACTTTCGCCCATGCTCAAAGTGTCGTATTCGCGAGGTTATTAACGTCTGTGATATAATACCTGAGGGCAGCCTTGTCGCATGCATCGGGGGTGTCAACGGCAGGAAGCGAGTCTGTCGTAAGATCGACATTATCGAGGATCTCTTCGAGATCGACGGATTGGCTCGATAAATAGCTCGCGTCGGGATTGTGCGACGATGGGGAACTTTCGAAACTCCCAGCAGCGATGCTTTTGCTTTTACCCGAGCTTCGGCGTACTATTGTCAAAGTGCCCTGTTCTGAAACACCAATATGCGTAATTGCCCCGATTAATACAACTGCGATGAGGCTGTGCGTCAAAGGTTGGAATCGTTAAACCTTCCTGTTAGTCCGAGTTAGAGAGCCCAACGCTTCGCATCACATGCATATTATTTTCTCTCATCTCGAGAAATAAGAGAGAAGTTACAATTTTCGGAAACTAAAGATTTACGCCCAAATAGCATAAGACGTCCTCAAGATAATTCTGAACATATTCAAGATAATTTTGAGAAATTTTTGAGATATTCAGTTGTGTTATTTTAATATTTAAATATTTAATTATTTAAATATTTTAAATGAATATAGGTATATGTTATGGGTATATCTGACCTCATTAATTATAATGCAACATTAGAAGAAATTTAAAAATGTTAAATACTATAATAAAAGATATAACTTGACACATTCAGAATTAGCAAATTGAATATACTATTAGGTAAATCGGAAAGTTCCGTCCATCTAGCGGCAAGTAGCTATAGCAAGAACTGTCGTTAATCTCTAATATTTAAACAAAGCTTAATGGTTTGTTTTGACATCTGTCAATAACATTCATAAAGGTATACGTTTGCATCAATAACATTGTTTTTTACTTCATCGAAAATGTTGAAATTTGAGCCAAATAAGCGTCATTTGCGCGAAGTGTTAATCTTTTGCTTCAATTGGAATAAAACTGCAGCTGAAGCTCATTGAATGCTTGTAGAAGTTTGGTGATAATGTTCCTTCCAATAAAACATGCAGATAATAGTTTCGACGTTTTAAAAGTGGTGATTTTGATGTGGAGGACAAAGAGCGTTTTGGACAACCAAGAGTATTCGAAGACGAAGAATTGCAGACATTGGTAGACGAAGACCCATGTTAAACGCAAAAGCAACTTGCAGAACTTGCAGAAGCAATAAATTGTGCTCAATCTGTCATTTCCAATCGTTTGAAAGCCTTAGGAAAGATTTACAAAGAAGGAAAATGGGTTCCATATGAACTAAAGCCAAGAGACATTGAAAGGCGAAAAACTGCCTGCGAAATTCTGCTTGCTAGACAACAAAGAAAGGGGTTTTTACATCGTATCATCACTGGGGATGAAAAATGGATTTATTTTGACAACCCCGAACATCGAAAAACTATTTGCGATCCCGGCCAACCCTCAACATCGACGCCAAAGCGGAATATCCACGGAAAGAAGGCAATGCTCTGTATTTGGTGGGATCAGAAGGGTGTGCTCTATTATGAGCTATTGAAAAGTGGTCAAACAGTCACAGGGGATCTTTACAGAGAACAAATGATCCGTTTGAGCCGAGCATTGCACGAAAAACGACTGGAATATGAAACGAGACAGCATAAAATGATTTTGCTTCATGACAATGCTCGGCCTCACGTCACAAAATCTGTCAAGGAAATGTTAGAAGCACTTCGCTGGAAAGTGTTACCCCATGCGGTTTATTCACCAGACTGTGTCCCTTCTGACTATCACTTGTTTCGATCGATGACACACGCACTTGCTGACGAATGCTCCAATTCTTATGAAGATGTCAAAAATGGGTCTCTGACTGGATAGCCTTCAAAGATGAATCATTCTTTCGCCGCGAAATTCGTTTGCTGACCGAAAGATGGAAAAAAGTCATCGCTAACGATGGACAATATTTTGATTGATGTACTTTTTCATTTTGTTTCTTAAATAAAGTTTTATTTAATAACATATGTTTTGCAAAAAACGGACGGAACTTTCCAATTGATTGAATTAATATGTTTTTTTCTTTTCCTTCAGACGCCTAAGAAACATCAATAACAACCCTCGCAACCGTCCGATAGGATATTCTCTGGATATCTTAAAAACTAGTATTCAGTTATCATTTTCTCTTCTATGAGACATCCAAAGCATAACCCTAAATATCCCTAAAATATAGATATTCATCCATAATGTCCACTCTGGATGTCCTTAGAATTTCCAAAGGATGCATTGTGCTATCTGGGCAGTTTCAACGGAGGATCCGCGATTAACTTATCGCGTACATACAGGGTCTGCCAAAAGTTCCGGAACGGCTAATTATTTATTAGATCATCAATAGATGATCAATTCTAGAAATTGATGATGAGATTGCACGGTCGGATTTACACCTCTTGTGTGTATGTATGTCACAGCAGAGATAAAGACCCCACGGTTCATCACTGCCGTAGTATTTGTGTATTAGTATGTAGCGACTGAGCGTCCGCGCTAGGTAGTGTTTTATCCCCACCACTCACGCGCAGAGCACTAGGGCCCATGCACGCTACGCACACAGAGCTGGCGCAGCTTCAGTAAATTTGCTGAAAAAGATTGGTGCGAAGTTAACTTTGTCTCAAAAAACAAAATCAGAAATGTCAACCTGTGGATATAATCTATCCTACACTAACATTTTATTTATTCTTCGTTTAATGTAATTGTTTTCACTTTTGACAATGCGTTTAACTGATAAGAAAAGAATTACTATTCTTATGATGCGAGGTTTCGGTGATAGAATTAGATCTTACCAAGAAGTAACCAATTTATTTAAAAATACATACATTAATCGTCCACCAATTTCAAAATCATCTGTTTATCGGATTGTTAATCGTTTTGAAAAAACTGGGTTAATTGAAGACGAACCAAGATCTGGAAGACCTAAAGACGTCATCAACGATGATAAAGCTCTAGAGATTTTGCTAAATACAATAGAAAATCCTCATACAAAATTGTCTCAACAAAGTGAAACTAACATAATATCGGTTCGTAGAATTCTACAAGAACAAAAGTACCACCCGTATAAAATGCATTTGGTACAGGAGCTGTCCGAAGACGATTTTGACAGAAGAATTGAATTCTGCGATACGATGATGACACGATTTGACGATAATAATCAATTCTATACTTGGATTTGTTTCTCCGATGAAGCTACCTTTGAATTAAATGGATCAGTTAATCGGCATAATTTGAAATACTGAACTGATGAAAATCTTCACTGGATGAGAGACTGTCACACGCAGTATCCCCAGAAGATTAATGTTTGGGCCGGGATATTCTCTAATCGTATCATAGGGTTATTTTTTCTAGACGGGAATTTGACAGCAGAAATTTACTTGAATTTGTTGCAAAACCGAGTGGTACCAGCTATCCGAAACATCGTTGGAGATGATTTTGAACATGTTTGGTTTCAACAAGATGGGGCTCCACCTCATTTTGGTTTAAATGTTCGTCATTTTCTACATGAAACTTTTGTTGGTCGATGGATTGATAGAAAAGGTACGATAGAATGGCCATCAAGATCTCCTGATCTAAATCCGTTAGACTTTTTCTATTGGGGACATTTAAAAAATATGGTCTATGAAACGAAACCTAGAAACATAGACGATCTAAAAGAAAGAATATTAAATGTTTCAGATTCCATTACACCAGAAGTTTTGAGAAATGTTTTAAATACATTTTATGTTCGCTTGGGACACTGTCAAGCAGCACAAGGCCGCATAAGTTTGAACATTTAACAGGATAATATGCACACATACTACCCTCGACAGACAAAGGCCACGTATACGCACGCTACACACACACAGCAGAAAGGGTTTGGAGTCAATAATACTACGGCAGTGACAAACCGTGGGATCTTTATTTCTGCTGTGACACACACACACACACACACACACACACAAGAGGTGTAAATCTGACCGTGTAACTTCCACGTGGTATACCTTGAGTAATGCTAATGCCGATGGTATTTTAACTTTCAAGTCCTATAACTGGAAACTGGTTCTTATGGAAAGAAGATTTATAACCAGTGTTTCGGAAACGTCTCAACGTCAGCTATAAGAATATGTAACAAAAAATAGGGGGTTCCATTTAAAATTTTTGTCGACCTTGATAATGTTTCTCAAGGTCATTCCAAGGTCAAATAATTATCAATATCTGATAGCTTTTTTTAAGCCCTACAACTTTTGTTTCAAACATTGTTTTAAACAATCATTATTTTTTTAAATAATTAGCCGTTCCGGAACTTTTGGCAGACCCTGTATGATATTTTTTCTAGTATGTAGTCTCCGCATTTTTTTCTTCTAAATTTTAATATTTTAAGCTCCCATGATGTGGAGAAATATTTTATTTGCCACGGGATTGATACCGTGCCTATCATAGATTTGTGTTTGACGTTTCGCTTTGTGAACATTCCAATTCACTTCTTCAGGAAGACGAATGACCGGAAAATCATTTTGACACTTTCTGATCATCCCTCCGTCTGGAGAAATTAACTGAAATATTCACAAAACATCACACTCACTGAATTTGATTTATGATAATTTTTAAAACGAAAAATCGATACGCATCAAGCTCTCTCTTGCGGGTTTTGTGGAGATTCTAGTTGCCACGTATGCGACTCTAGTTGATAAACTCCGGTACCGGCAAACACGTACGGTAAAGCTCAATAGTTGAAGCGTATCTCGGGAGGTAATACCTCGGAAACTTACTGGAGAGTTGGCCGTTCCGACCGGGTGAGGAGGGATTGCGCGGCCTGGAAGTCGCCGCGCCGCTGCTGCAGCCGGTAGCTTCGTTCGCGTTCGCCGTTGCACCGGCCGGGGCCACTCCGATATCGTCCCTTGTGACCCGTCTGTCGGGCGGAGATGCAACTGCAATTTCAGAAAGAAAAGAAAAGAGAAATTATAGAGTGAAAGATAGTACACAAGGCTCCGCTCCATCACTGTTAGCTGATCGACGTGTCGCGATCGCAACAGACGTCAAGCTTCGTCAATAATTGCATGTAGATGTACGCAGCTTTCTCTGTGCGCACGTTCAAGATATATGTAATCCATCATAAATTATAATCTCTCAACAGTTCGAAGTCGAAATTTTGTCGATGTGAAATTTAATCATGCGCCGTCGATTTCCAAGTTCTTATGTCGAATGATACGATAATATCAGCATAATGTCAGTTTTATTCGGTAGAAATTAAGAAGTACTTCGATAATTGTAAAACGAACGACGATCTTTTAAACCGCCCGGAACGGTTTTTCGAGTGAATGTCCTTTCCGGTGTAGTTTTTATATCGCGAGACAATTTTGCGTTTTATTTTCTGGCCACGTTGGTAAAGCACGAAGGTTCTAATCGATTTAAAGACAATCTTTTATGCCTTAAGCTTGAGGTTAAATCAGAGAGAGTGAGGAGGAAAATTTTACGCGAAACAGAAGTCTAGATAAGACGGTCTGTCTAGATTATAACGGGGAGGGGGAAGGGGGGGCACTTGTACGAGTCTTTCCTGTCGTGCATATGAGATACACAACGCGAGAAATATATCAAGTTGGCAACAAAGTCATATCGTTTTTCACGGATAAATGGTCTTAATTGTCATTAAACGCAACTAACCTATAATCTCCAAATCCTATAATCTTTATATCATTTAACAACTAACATTTCAAGTTTTCTTAAAAAAAAAAAGTATGTCCTTCTGTAAAAAATTGTGTTAAGAATAAAAAACCAAAATGAGCATTTTCGCTATATTTTATTTTTTTATTTCCAAAAAGAAAAGAACGTTGTGCAAGCCCGTCAAAAGTTATGTGCTATGTATGGCGAGGAAGGAACAGAACGCCAGTGTGAGCGTTGGTTTGCTTGTTTTCGTTCAAAAGATTTTTTTGTGAAAGATGCACCATGGTCAGGCCGGCCAATTGAGGTCGATGATGACAAAAAAGCATTGCTTAAATCCAATCGCCATTATTTGACACGGGAGATCGCTGAGAAGCTGAAGGTATTATATATGAGCATTGAAAACCATTTAAAACAACTTGGATACGTCAACAATCTCGACATTTGGGATCTATACGAGCTCGAAAAAATTCACTTCTCAAGATGTATCAATATCAGTGATTCTATCTTGAAAAGCGATCCGTTTTTGAAACGAATGTTAACTGACGATGAAAAATGGATTGTTTATGACAATGTAAAAAGATCGTGAAGCAAACATGATGAGCCCCTCAAAGCATTTTTAAAGCAGACATTCACCAAAGGAAGATTTTGTTATCTGTTTGGTAGGGTATTGTGTTTTTTGAACCGCTTAAACGTAATTAAACGATTGATTCGGAATTGTACTGTCGTCAATCAGACAAATTATACGAAGCAATCAAGCAGACGCGCCTGAAACTGAACTGGTGAATCATAAATATGTTGTCTTTCACCATGACAACGTTAGACCATATACAGGATGTAACATCAATATATAAGTCAGTATGAAGGGTTATTTGCCCCTATTCGGGAGATAACGCAGAGGTTGCTAAAAAGTCACTTGTTGATTCTGTTGATAATGATATTTGTAGTGCTCCCAGTTATGACAAATGCAACTAACTTTGCACCGTGATCGTTATGACAATTTATCGACCGTTTATCAACAGGAGTCGAGCCTCATTGAATTAGGAAAGATGTTTAAAGAAGTGAAACTGAGAAATAAATATTATGGTATTAAGTAGAATAAATAAGAGTAAAGTTAAAGAGATAAATAATCCAACATATTTTCTGGTTTTGCATAATTTCTTAATTGTTTTCTTACATTGGAAGTTCGGTAGAAATTGAAGATTAAAAGAACGATACAGAAATATTCAAAAGTCTTATATACTGTATTTCATCCATATTTCTACAAAAAATCACTTTTGCAAAAGTATAAACGCAATAAACTACGTTTTCAGTCAATTCATATATATTGCTGTTACACTCTGTACATCATTAGTCACTCGCCAGAAATTGTTGCAGCTTGGGATGTGTTCACATTCACCATATTCGGCTGACCTTGCACCATTAGATCATCATTTATTTCGTTCCTTGCAAAATTCTTTGAAGGAGAAGTAATTCGATTCTGATGAGGTTATCAAACGGTAATTGGATCAGTTTTTCGCTGATCAGGACCGGAGCTACCAAACAGATGGCAAAAGGTCATTAAATTAAACGGACAATATATTACAGGGTAAAGATTTTGTTTATGAAAATATCGTTTTTCATTTATATAGAAAAGAAACGACATGACTTTCTTGCCAGCCTGATACTTACACACGGAATTCTGTGTACTCGTATATATTCTTCATTAATTATTAATTAATTAAATATTTCATTTTCGTATATTCCGCTGTTTTAAACGTTGATAGTTTGATAGGCGCAGATAGGCTGAGATTTTTCGAGTTTCGGACGTTTACACGTGGCTTGAGCATTAAACTCCAACTCATTTCCACGAGGCGACATAATTATCAGGTACATTGTATATACCTCCTAGCTGTATGTATGTATCTAGCTACGCGCAATGCCGCAAACGTAATGTTCTCAAACGTGATCATAACACTAATTCATCAAGCATATTGCTATAAAGTGTAAGGCCGTGCCGCTGCAGCAAAACCGCGGTTTACTGGGCTATCGATCGGCAGCACCTGCCTATGACCTGCGAATTAGCCTCATAGCTGCGTCATCGATCGCGTGCGGATTGCGGACCGGTCCTATTATGTTAATCATAAGTTGAAGTGTTTCTAAGCAGGAGCATTCTGCGATGATGCACCTGAGATGTAGGGATTCAACGGAAGTCAGAAACAAACACGAACATCTCTGTAGTTACAATCGTCCAATATAATCGATATCGCTATCAATTATTTAATGGATTAATTGCTTGCTTCGGTAGCATCCACGATCGAGAGATCTAATAAAGGATATTTATGACACGCAATTCGTACTCCGAGTGTACTTCTTCGGCAATCAAAAAAGCGTAAAGTGCAGAGGAAGAGGGAGAGAGAGGGAGCGAGGGGAAGTTTGAACCTGCCGAAATCAAGTCGTTTTCAGTCTTCGCTATGAAATTAGAGATTACGTTGATGAAGCGTTGAAACCTACGAATCAAGGTAAAATAATGTAATTCGGCGATGTCGAATCGGAATTATTACAGAACACGATGCCGTTCCTATTTCAATCACGCGGCTCACAAGTACGAGTCTAGATCCAAACGCAATTATGCTAACGCAGCTTGCAGTTAATCAAACAGCATTGTTCGCAGACGTTATCAGTCCGCGTCGCGTCGTGCCCGTTTAAAACAAACCGCTACTCCGTGCACGTGCTGGTCGTTCAATATGAAAGTATCCAATTTCGCAAGTGTCGAATCCGACAAAATTTTATTTCGTTACTGCTCGTCGATTCCGTTCGTTGCTCGTTATTATTATTTTCGTCACTATGTTATGTTACTAGAATCATATTTCGCGAAAATATTTCGTCGGAATATCGATTCTCGAAGCGAAAACGATATCGGTAGCATTAATCGTTCCGATCGAATATCCGTTCCAGGAGAATTCTACCAGCTCTGTATTCGATGACACGTGGCGTCAAACGCGTCAAAGGGCATATTGGCCAAAAATGATCGCCCCACGCGAACAATATACGAGATTTAATCTGGTAAAATGTATATGTAGTGAAACGCAACAATGATATTGGATTGGAAGAAAAGTAATATCATATTTTCCCAACAGATGTGTGTACGTGTGACTTTAATGTGTTTTACTAGAAAGAAACTTCAATTTAGATGGCGTAAGTGCATGCTATTCTGATAAATTACATCTTTAAGTGTTATTTAGTATATATAAATTATATGTGCGTGTAGAAGCGTTTGAGATTGAAAGAAAAATATAAGCTAGTAAAAATACAAGTTGTATCTTCGTTGTTTGCCGTTTTACTTCCGTAAAGGGAAAAACGCGAATGCAAACGAAAAATAAATATGTGAAAGAAATATGTGAGAGAAAATATGTGCTGTGTATGGAGAAGATACTGTAACAAAAAATATATCAAAAAATATGTCAAAGATGGTTTACGAAATTTCGTGCTGCTGACACGACACTCGAAGATAAAAATCACTCTGATTGCATCTTATCGACTTCCATCTTCACGAAATAAAAATGTTTATGTCAATGAATATGACTTATTATGTATCAGTTTGTACGCAGGTTGATCAATACTGACATAATCTAACAAAAATATATCGCAACTTTCATGTAAATAATTCATAATGCCATCTATACGTGAACGATGGAAACGTTTGCACACTCCTAATATCTATACGTCAGATAAGAATATGACAAAAAGCCAATATTGATGCCATGTTGCCAGTTAGACTTCTGTCGCAACCGATTACTGCTCAAGTCTATCAATAGTGACTTACAATTGTGACAATTTAGTGTACTTCATATTTTATTGTGCCTAAGCAAGTTGCATAATAAAGTTTACTCATATTCAATCATACACAATCATACATCACATTTGCCCAGACGTACAATTTATCGCTCGTTCCCGATTAATGCTGCTACTTTCGTGTCCAACAACCGATATCATGATTTCGTCCCCGGAAAGAATGTCGGAAGCTACTAGGTGCACGATATAACTCCCAAGTTAATCGACGTGTCAGCAAGCGATGACGCATTCTTCTCTCATTTAATTCTGATATTAAAGGCTGATATTAAACGCCCACTCTCGAAGGTGCGTTTCACGTGATACTATAAATCGACCTAAAGGCCTAAAGGATATATCTTCTTCCTTTCCCTTTTTCTTATATGAGATCGATGCGCACGCGATTTCCAAAGTAATTTTATTACGACATAATTACATCGCGTACACGCGTGCACACACGCGCACGCAAACCGCGAGTCACGTGCACAATAATGTTAATGGATGGATTTTCATTGTAAAATCATATTGTAGTCATATCCGGTCGTATCCATCTCATTTTATCGCCGCCGTGTGTACGGGCGACTCGATATGCAAACATACACGTTTCCGAGCAATAGTTTTGCCACTCGCTATCACTTTCCAAAAACACCTTCAAATGCCGAGAGGCGAAATGTTGACGCGATGGCGCGAGATGAGAATTAGGAAATTATGCACCGTAAGCGGATAAACAAACAGACGCGAACAGAGAGTACGTAGGTGAATTATTACGTTTCGCTTGAATAATGCACGAAGCCCCGATGCAACAGCGAAATATATGCATTTAGCACGCCCAATGATATTCATATCCGTCTCCATATTAATTTTCACCTTTATTTTGCCATGTATGCTTTCTCACATAACCCAAAATCGTCACGGTAGTGCAAAATTTACACTTTCCAATGAATATTTCGATCCAGCATCTTCCTGGTAGTTCTTATTAGAAAACTCTTCTTAGTACCTTCAATATCTTCATCGTTTACATAAAGATTAGGAATTTCATCTTTAGATATTATGTCAGCATTTTCTTATCAAAAATTCGCTTTTGAAATCAACTTTTAATTATAATATAATCTCATTGACGTTATCAATTTAAAATTAAAAAATTTGATATTTTTCGAAAATCTAAATATACCATTACTTAGAGCATAAAATACCATTAAACTTTCATGTAATAATTTTTTCATACATCTCATAGTTTAGAACATATTTCCAAAAAACGAAAAAATCCGTTATTTTCGAGGGGTATTTTCAACTCCTACATGTCGAGATACGCAGATAAAAAAAAATATGACCTAATTATTTTTTGCTGTTCTACAACATATCCAAAGCCAATCCAAATCGGTGAGGGACAATTCCGACGGTTTACTTATCAGACTGAAATCGTTGCTTTTAAACCGTCTAAACCAAAATGCACACGTACTGTATTATTGTATATACAGGGTGTCCCATTTTAATCCGGCCGGCTGAATAAAATTCGAGGATGATATTTTCCAGAAAAAAATGTCAGACAAATGTTTCTCAGTTCTAAGGAGGACATTCGATGCCATCAACAATTTTGACCTCGGGTGAAGGGTTCAAGGTCATTCAAGGTCAACTTTTTTTCTTAAATGGGAACCCCTATTTTTCACATCAGCAATCGATTTTACGTAAAAAAAAATGAAACTTTTGTCTGAAGCATTTTTTTTTATAACGCAAACTAATTTCACTTATTCAGCCTCCAAAATTGAAATTTTCAAACTTTCTGAATTTTTTACTAGAGAATGGTGGGGTTTGAGGGGAAATTGCAGAAGACAAAGTTCTTGGAATGTAGCAAGGAATTCACTCGAATTTTCGCATAGTTGATCGTGCACTTTTTTCCGCCAATGTTCTACCTGTCAGGAGGTACCTCGAAAAAAGTACACGATCAACTATGCAAAAATTCGAGTGAATTCCTTGCAGCATTCCAAGAACTTTTTATCTTCCGCAATTTCCCCCCAAACCCCACCATTCTCGAGTAAAAAATTCAGAAAGTTTGGAAATTTCAATTTTGGAGGCTGAATAAGTGAAATTAGTTTGCGTTATAAAAAAATGCTTCAGACAAAAGTTTCATTTTTTTTTACGTAGAATCGATTGCCGATGTGAAAAATAGGGTTTCCCATTTAAGAAAAAAAAGTTGACCTTGAATGACCTTGAACCCTTCACCCGAAGCCAAAATTGTTGATGGCATCGAATGTCCTCCTTAGAACTGAGCAACATTTGTCTGACATTTTTTTCTGGAAAATATCATCCTCGAATTTTATTCAGCCGGCCGGATTAAAATGGGACACCCTGTATATTGTATCTTCACCGAGAAAGAAACAAATCGATTCGCATGCTCTTGCAGAATTTTTTCCTTGTTGGAATTCGTAAAGAATGCAATGTCGGATATGCACCTTAAGGTCATTCTATAATACTAAAATTCTATAATACGTGTCGTAAGTGGTAAGCCGTAAGAACTGACCAATTATAGCCGATTGTTTTTATAATAATCGACTGGGATTCGTCAATTCTTACGGTTTACAACTTACGACACGTATTGTAGAATGACCTTTATATGTTGCTATATTTAACTGTACTGAACTAAATAATTTTTGAAATTATGTTGAGCCTTCCGCCATATTAAATATAATTTTTAATAGCTATACGTTAACAAATAACCGTAAAAAAACAGGAAAATTTGATTATTTGAAACTTAATTTCTTGTATTAAAATTTTTTTATAAATTAACCCATGCTCTTACTTGACAGACTGTATAATGATAAATAAGAGATATTCACGCGTTTATATTTCTTTAAATATAAAAATTTACCAATAACGTTTTACTTAATAATACTCTACATCTTTAGAATATATGACAATTTTTATAATATCATATCACTTCGCATAACTAAATAAATAGATTTAAGTATGAATTTAACATACGCTCAATGATATCCATATTCGTTTCCATATATTAAATTATATCTTTATTTTACCGTGCTCGCTATCTTATATAAACCAAGATCACCGTAACAAAGCAAAAACCTACACACACCACGAAGTACTGAAGTTGACCAAGTAATACTATACTCCCGGCTTTTACACCGGCTGGCGGCCCGGCAGGAACCCGACAGGAACTAATTTAGGTATCGACGAAATACTGGAGCAGCCGCCATCGCCGCCGCTGTCGTTGTTACTGTCATCGCTGCGCGTGAAAGAAGGATCGTGTAGAATACGAGAGCGATATACTTTGTCTTAAGTAAACCATTAATTGATGTCATTATTCGCAGTCGCTTTACGCACCAAGCTTCTCGCTTGGCTATAACGCGCGGTAGGTGATTGCGAGATTCCATCGATTACGAGGTCTGTCGTCGCGCGAGTCATCCATCTATTTTGCGGTCGCTGCGCTTCAGAAATACATTAACCTAATGGACACTGTCGCACCCGTCATATTAGAGCCGAGTAATACCGTAATACGACAGAGCGCCTCTTGTAAATTTCAAGTCTCACAAAAAGCCCATCATCGACTGAGCCGATATGTTGAATTGAACGTGTGATACGCGGACTCGCGTGATACACGGATTTATCGCGAGTAGATTGGCGCGCGAGCAGCAACATGTGGTTTATTGCACCGTCATTACAAGAAAATTCACCAATTTAACATTTTAAACTTCTTCCCTCTCCACCGTTGGATTTCGCTCATTAAAACACCGACGTTATCGCCGTCGCCACGTTGAGGCTGCGTCCGACGAGAGAGCCGAGTCTTTGTGACGTGCCTGCGCGAACGCACTGCTTCGTGTCGCACGAGAGTGCATTCATTATTAAATTTCTACCACAGCGAGGAAAGTGGATTTCCGGAGACGCGAGCTCGGCGAAACTGCGTTAAGAATCTCCAAGGTTTAAAGGTAGCTCGATCTCTCCTTCGGACAGGGAAGCTGTCTTTTCGCGTTGAGCGGAAAAGTTAGGACGTGACAAGAGACAAATGTTCGGATACGATGATGATCTCTGAAGGACCGCGAATATATATGCTGCAATATACGGTAGGAGAATAAAAGAGTAAGAGAGAGAATTATCCGCCACATACGTTAAATAAAATATGCGAACCTGCATATGTGCACCTGCGGGAATGTTGAACAGCACGCGGACGCTGATGTGTTTTTACACGGTTTCTTTAAAAATTAAAAGTGATCTTTACTCACTTTTGATGAGGCGGTTTAAAGGGACTGGAGAGAGTCAGATTGCTGAAAAATTGTGTTTGTTTGTTGTTGATAATATTTTGTGATAAATTGAATAAATGTGCAAGAATGAAAATTTTAGGTATATTTATACAACATATGAAGAGTAGAAAAATTTTGTTTATTGACAAATACTCATATAAATATACGGTATATATAGTTGAAATATACTCTTCTTTTTTTTCAAATTATCGTTTTTGCAGTAATATCTCGGCTCTCGATGGTCCGATCAGAGCGAATTTAGTTAGAAATCTTGAGGAGATTTATCATTATCCGGTGAAACACTACAAAAAAAAATCGAACAAAATTAACAAAATGGCAGCTTATTATTAGGAAAAATCCAAATTTTTCAGTTCTTTTACAATAAAAAAATTAATATCTCGAAATAAAATATTTTGACGTAATTGTCCATGGTTCATCTGAGAGCCAGGTGAACAAATATTATTGCTTTAAAATTTCAAATCGATACGAAGCTCAGTTTCGGAGAAAACATTACAAAAAGTTGAACAATAAAATTTTGAGAAAAAACGCGTTTAAAATTTAAGTGGACGTATATTTATATGAGTATTTGTTAGTAAACAGATAATAAACAATCGGCGACAGTTGAAATTTTTTAAAGGTTATTCAAGGTTATATCCTTAATAACATATAAAAATCAAGCAGATCAAAGCTGCATTCTCTATTGTGAACTTTTACAAAAATAATAGATCTTGAAAAGTTTGATAATAGCTTTTCAATAAATAATGAGCGATGGTACAATTTTTTGGAAATTGTTCAGAAACATGACTTTGACAATGTAATACATTCAGAACAAGACAGTCAGAGTATGTATCTCTAAATATTCACCTAATTAATATCAATTCACAATTTAAAATTTCAATTAACCTAATGAGTGATTATCATCGCGCGCATAGTGCAAATCAATTTACTTCACGAGCGCAAGACATGTATTATATACGCGTAATGAAAATGCGTTGGTGATCCATAAAATGGTTCACTCGTCACATTTAATAACAGCCCAATAAGCGTAATATACATAATTATTTATGTAGCAAATGCAGCGTATAATAAAAGAGGGTGACATTTCTCTCGATGAGTGTCCATCAGAGTTACGTAATATTGAATTATTCAGCGCAATGACTCGTCACACTCGTCATTGCCAAAACTACGCGCGATTTAGGGCGCACAATTGCTCTACCCGCTACCAAATCTGATGATATTTCTGATTGTAATATCGAAAACAGAGATTGTGTAAACATCAAATATTTGGCGCAGAGGTTATTTTACTTTGATAAACGAGGAATATGTTACATTGCATGAAAAGATCAAGCATATAAAGTTCTCCGAGAGAGCTTATCTCGTTCCGATATAACTTTTTTGCGTGACGGGAAAGGTGAAAAGGGTCTTTTCGAACGTTCGATTTTTATATGTTGAAAGGAGGCGTATCCCAGGAACGTGTTGTAGGCTTAGAATCGTTACACTTTTTGCGATGGAGATTTTCTGCACAAATGCAACGCAAAATTTCGAAATTCTCGTAATCACACGAAAATCCATACGTGTAATAATTCGTTCCCGACAAAAAATTATTGCGACGTTGTTCCAAGTATCGGCTGTGCGAAGATCTAATTTCATCGAAACCATTGATAATAGGCAGATGTACCGCGTAATAATATCTCTTATCGGTCGCTGGATTCAGGAAGCTCTTAATTCACGTAGCGAGATAAAGGTAATAAAGCACGGATCTACCCGCGCTTCTATCTATCGTTCGTGAAAAATGCCCAAAGCGAACCTCATTTAAGGAGGAACAATTCATGCGATATCGATCACCATTAAATAAGTTAGCCCATGGTGTTCTGGTGTATTGATAGCGGGAGAAAATTCACATATCTATTACATTAAGTTACTTTTAAAATATAGTTATATTAAACTGCATTTAAAATGTCTCAAAATGTTAACTTAAAGTTACTTAAAGTTAACTTAAAGTGATGCGTTCGTGGTATAAGATCAAGCTACTTTCAATGACTTCTATTTAATTCGAGAACTTTCAGCTAATAAAAATCATATTAAATCATTCCATCAATGTAGATTGATATTAACATCTCAAAATAAGTGTAAAGTACCGTCGTTTGTGCGACAATCTCTTATCAACAAAGATATTTAGTCGTTGACCTCGTTGACTTCGAGACTCTTTAGAAATTAGAAACAGTTTTTTTTTAACTCACGAAGACGTTTCGCGAAACGTCAGTCGTCGTATGAAACGCAGTCAAAAATTTTAAATTTTCGAATTTTTCGATTGCGTGCTCCAATTCGATGCTCGAAGATGCTCATTTTACCGTCAGAAATTTGATTGAAGTAAACCTACTTTTTTGTATCATTCGCCAATTTTATTGAAACTCAATATACTTATAAAGTTGTAAAAAATAATAGACACGTATCTTTTTATATCGGTAATGCTGCAATGTTAAAGGTGATAATACCCTTTTTGAAAGGTAATTTTAGCATATTCGATTTTAAGGAAATATTTTCGAAATTCACCGAAACACACCGAAATACATTTTCGAAACACCGTGAGAGACAAAATACGTTTTAGATAAAAGTCTAATAATAATTAGCATTCTTGAAAATGGCATAATCAAATTTTGCAATAATTTGATATTTTGCAAAATATCTTTACCATTAATTTACGATTAATTTCACAAAATTAAAATTTTCTGTTAAAACAAATTTAAGAAAGTTTATGCCAAATTCGTCCATCATGCATAACAAATTTCTTAAAACAGTGCTAGGAGATAAGCCCAGCTCGGCCAGATTTCGGAGACGACGTCTGTTTTCTCCCTACTACCATTTCCTGCTTGACGGCTGAGTCGTCGATCACGTGCGACAGCTTTGTTTTCAGGAGCATTCGCATATGAAAAATACGCTGTATAAAATATGATCGTATTTTCCGCCAAACCGTCATTAGAATTTTGACAATAGATTTCCACACCACTCGTGAGGTACTATTATTAATGCGTTTTTTTTTTTAATAATTTCCCCAATAGGCTTATTCTACTAAAAATTGATAAAGATGAAACATATGGCTCTATTCTAATGACAGTTTGGCGGAAAGTACGATTGTATTTTATACAGCGTATTTTTCATATACAAACCCTCCTGAAAACAAAGCTGTCGCACGCGGCCGGCAGCTCGGCCGTCAAGCTGAGTAGGGGGAAAATAGGCGTCGTCTTCGAAATTTGACCGAACTGGGCTCTTATCCCTCAGCATTGTCTTAAAATATAAAAAAGTTCCTAAAATATGCAAAATTAGAAACAAAAGAAAATGTTTTAAAAGATAAAAATAGGCGGCAATTTCCTATATTTACTGTAATAATGAATATCAAGGATTGAAGTGTTATTCAATATACAATCCATGAGAACGCTATGTTAGTTCTCGCATCACCGCAAAACAGTATGCAGCACTTGCTTTATAGTGAGTAAATTTGTCTACTCTGTGTATAAGTACAGGCACGCGATAAGTCTGAAGAGCGTTCATATGCAAAGATATTAACAGAGGACGCGCCTCACAGCCCACGTAGCGGAGTAGTGGTAACGCACAGAGAATCAGTGGTGCCAGAAACTGATCTCAAAAGCAACAGTATATGGAGGGGATGTGCCACACACAAATGCGTACCATATACATGTACGCTATTATTTGACGTCGCACTCGTTATTTTGGGCAGTAACGCACACGTTGGCGCAAAATCAGCAAGTGATCCAAAGGTAGGTTTACTTATAAGAGACACGTGTTTTTATATACGTGCCCAATCTCATTTTTGAAGGTAAAACATCTCCTGAAAGGTAATTCGACATATTATATCGTCTTGAGGGAATATTTTCAAAACCGTGACATAAAAAAATGTTTCAGATAAAAGTTTAATTAATGGTAATTAACGTTTTAGAAGATGGCATAATCAGCTTCTGCAATAATTTGATATTTTGCAAAATACCACCACAGTGCATTATTTACGGCTGATTTCGGAAATGAACTTTGTTATATATGATGGATGAATTTGACACAAACTTTTATTGGCATAATTTAAGAGAAATCAAGATTAACACACAAGAACCTTTATTATTGTTTCTCCTGTTCTAACATACAACAACAACTCTCTTAAGATTACCACCACTACTGGAAAATCATAGAGCGAGCGTTACATAGATTGGAATATACATGACGATAAACGATCAGGTTAGCCAACTCGCAGTGGAAGTGCAGTGTGTATACAAGAAAATTAAAATTCGTTTACATGGACTAATAATAAAATACAATGAATAATCACAACGCAGACAAGCGGAATAAAATAAAGAATATATAAAATGTATACGCAAATATCCACAACTTTCTTAAATATTTGTTTTAGCAAAAATGTTTAATTTTGCAAAATTAATTGATGGTGGTGAAGGTATTTTGCAAAATATTAAATTATTGCAAAATTTGATTATATCTATACTATTTTCAAGAATGTTAGTTATTATTATACTTTTATTTGAAACTTTAATCTCTCGCGGTTTCGAAAATATTCCCTTAAAATCATATAAGCTAAATTATCTTTCAGAGAGAGTATTTCCACCCTTAACATTGCACCATTATCGATAAAAAATACGTATTTATTATACGTATTTATTATACGTATTTTAATATTCTACAAATGCATTGAGTTTCGGCGAGTGATACAAAATAAACAAAGTTTATTTATGAAGTCGCAATTGGCCTTGACTAAAATTATCCAAGACTGAAACTCGAAAACTCGACGAATTTCATTCGGC